TTAAGAGGAAGCGCACCAGCCTGTGGTTTGGGCTTTGGACCACTTCCTGTATCAGATGTTGACAAAATAAAGCAGGTTTTAGTTTGACATTCGGTTTAGTTCTGAACCCTGACCAATGCTGTAGGGAAACTCTGTAGCAAAACCAGACTTTGTAAAAGATAATCTCAGATTTTCAGGCTTCAAAGAAGTGGTTTCGGTTTGTTTTTAATGGGCCTTTTTCTGAACGGAGTTTGGTGCAGACCGACTCCAGCTCCTCTGAACCTGAATAACCTCTGAGCTTCTTACAGAACCGGATCAGGTCCTGGAACGTGGTGTTCTGGATCCGGTCTCGGTGCCTCAGCTGCTGGATGATGTGCCCCTTCCAGGACCCTCCGGACCGGCTGCTCCGCTGCGACGCCCCGCAAGGATCCATGCAGAATCAGTGCAGTCATGACCCGCGGTGCTCGCTCTGCCTCATGCCGCCTCCTCTCCCCGCTGAGGAGCTCCCCAAAGCCGCTCCAGTTTATAGAGAAACCTACGTATTTGCTGCCTCTTAATTTTATTTTTGTTTATCAACTTTTTGTTGCTGCTTTGAGATTCGTCACTGAAACGAGGCGGGGCAACTGTCTCCAGCCAATCAGAAAACGCCCTGCCTTCTTCCTGATGGGAGCAAAATAGACCACGCCCACCCAAACTTATTAAAAAGATATGGGAAAAATAAATATGAAAACTTCTGAAAAAGTTAAATTTACACCCCACCCCATTTTTAAGACTATACTGGTTAAATTTTCTATTTTACACCTTAAAAAAACATTTTAAACTGATAGAAGCTGCATAAAAGTTGAGATTTTTAAAACACTTAATCTGCAAATATTGGAAAAAAAAAAAACTTTCATTTATAGATTAATACACATACTTTGTTTTTTACATCTATAGAGGCTGCACCAAAGGTAAGGATTTTAATTACACCATTAAAGTAAAAAAAAAAAAAACTCTAAATCATGTCACACTGCATCAAACTGATTACACCAAACCAAAAATCCTGCATTTTTGCACCATATATATCAATGCACTGAACGTCCATATCAATGTCTTTTTTGCACCATGTTTTTTCTCCCACACCATTTATATTTGATCTCTGCTGCACTTTATGGAATGGAAATGTTCATTTACTGTCTAAAAAGCTGTACAAATCAAAACTTGTTTTGTATGCAGTCTGAATACAAAATGACAATAGAAGTTGTCTAAGTCAGTCTAAAAACAAAAATTGGATTTTTGTTTAAATCCTCCAACAGTTCAGGACTGGATAAAAAGATTAAATGAAACAAGTTGATCAAACAACATTTTATTAAAAATTTAAGCTTAATTTTTATTAAAACAGTGAGTGTGATTTAAAAATAAAAATAAAATACTGCTGGCTGGAAAACAATAAGGTGCCTTTATTTTCAAAGTTTGTCCGCTGACTGAATTCTGTCCCCTGTCAGCCTCCGTACCCGTAGTTGTTTGGCTTCAGATTTTATTCAGTTTGTTCCGAGTCATCTGAACCAGGAGCTCAGAGTATTTCTCCAGCAGGACCTTAGTCTGCTCATCCTGCATCTGACCAACGGGGGCGCTACTGCACGCTGGTGGGGTCACACCCTGCAGCTCCCCGAGAACGGCGGCGAAGGCCTCCTGAAGAAGGGAAGAGCTCTCCAGGTAGCGTTCAGAGCCGCCAATCTGCAGAGAAATTAACTTTTAGTCAAGACGAGACTTTTGATATGAAAGCTGGCTAAAAACAATAGATTCTGACTTTTTGTGAATCTGTCGGTTTGGATTATTTAGAAAATAAAATCCAACCATGGCTGCAGTCAGGAAAACAGACCTGCTGGTAAAGATGGATGGCTCGTTGTGTCGCCAAACGCAGCTCGTTGGCAACCTGCCTAGTCTGCTGCAAACTGACAGCCTTCTCTTCTTCACCTGAAGTAAAAAACAAAATAAAGAGAATGCACCAATTCTTGTTTTGGATGGAAGCTGAAAGAAAAGACTCCAAACTACCTGTAGGATGGGTGGGGTCAGCTGTCTGGGGGCGGGGCGTCTCCAATAAGGGAGAGGAGGAAAAAGTGGGCGTGGCAGGGAGCGAAGAATCAGCTGCAACAATGATAAAAAGTTTATACTAAACTGCTGTAAATTCTGATATTTTCAAATAATTTCTCCAACGGTCTCTACATTTATTCAGTGGAAGGTCTAGACCAAATTTTTCTTGGGAGCCGAACCAAAGAATTATATAAAAGCAGTTTGTTTAAAATATCAAGTGAAGCAAAGAGCCATTTGCTGCTCCTAAAACTTCAGCGCAAGACGAAAACTGATCATAGATCAATAAAGCTAAATAAAAATCTAAAGAAACCAACAACTTACTTTCTATATCATTGTCAAAAATCTAAAGATAAAAATATGATCATAATCATTTGCGATTTTTATTATGGCGCATATTAATTTATTTCTCTAGAATGTCTTATACACACAGGGCACAGGAACAGTTCTACAGGGGCAATGAATCCATCAGACCTTATCAAGCAGGGTCAGAATCTATGCTGATTATTGCGTTTCTATACTTGATCACACTACAAAAAATATTTCAGGCCTCATTCAGCCTCATTAACCTAAAAAGGAAACGAGCCAAATCATTTACTGAACCTATAAATAAAAATGAAGCTATAGCACCAGGATGTGTAGGTTTAGGGAAACGAGGAAGAGCATCGTTACCTGGGTCGGTCTGGATTCCTTTTACACACGGACCCTCCACCTTTTTGACAGTGGGTGGCGCTGAAGGGGCGGGACTCTGGATTAGTGTTGTGTTTGGATTGGTTGACGCCTCTTCCAAGCTGCCAACACTCCACCTGCCTCCTTCACACTGTGACATGGTGGGTGTGGCCAGTACCTGCAGACTGAAAAGCAGAAAAATAGGTTAAACTGAAATGAAGATCAATATTTTAATCAAGACATCAACAAAGATTTGACCCTCTGTATTTATTACTATAATAATAATCCTCCTAAAAACAAGGAAACTGTTGCTTTAGTTTGAATCACCTGCTGCTCTGCTCTTGGGGATCAATGGTGTTTGGGATGTGGAGGTCTGGATCAGACTGGAGGGGGGTGGGTGATGGCAGGGGATCTGAGGCAGACATCAGGTTCTCCTTGTTCTCCTGGGATGAGGCAGGGTGATCCAACCCTGGCTTGGACGTGGTGGAGACGTGCAGGTATGTGAGCTGAGTCTCCTCCTGTGGGAGTGAAGATGCTGTAGCGCTGTTGGTCATCTGGTTCCTGGAGGTGATGTCTGTTGGTTCAAACAGAAACCGGTGAGACTAAATCCAACCATCTGCTGTGCTCTGAAGGTCTGAATGAGTTAGGGAGGAAGTCACCCCACTGTGTCCCAGTTCTGCCCGATGGCTCATTGTGAAATAATTACAGGTTTGATTCTGACAGATTTTGAAATCATTCTCTGATCAGCAAGAAAGAAACCACCTCCATCTGAGAAGCTTTCAGCACCACCCAGTGAACCGTCCAGCAGAGAGAAACCCCAGATCAGACCAAATCACCCCAGTGATGCTCACAGACCTCCCAACGTCTTCCTGCACTGCAGCACCAGCACAGTGTTTCGTCTGCGGGGGAGGCGGCGCTGGGGCTGAGGGGATCCCCCACAGGAAGCTCTCCTACGGAGGACTGCTTTACCGCTCACTGTGGTTACACAAACACACTCCCTGTTGGTGGACCGTCACCTGAATTTACATTCGGTCCAGCAGGAGGCTGAGAACGCCTACCTGAGGAACTCCATGGATAGATTCTCCTTTAGTCAAACTTTTAGGCCAATTATCTTTTGACAAGAATTAAACATTTGTCTGGAAAAGGATCGTTACAGCTTATACACAGTGGCAGGAGTATTAAACAAAAAACAAAACAAAAAACAAACAGGTTAAAACCAGTCATATTCAGAATTCAAACCTCTGAAAGTACTTTAAATATAAATTATTACAGACTGTTAAATAATTGATAAATGTTTTTAATTAAGAGTAATTT